CATGTAGAAAGCCATATTTAAGTCTGGTCTGTCCACAGTCTCTCATTCACCACTAATATGATTTATGATCACAGTTGACACAAGCACATCACGCTCGCTGTGCTCACAGCAAACTGTTAAAGACAAACTAACATGAAAGCTGTCTGTATGTAGGCTAACACTTTATCTTAAAATGTACCTGAGGCAGCCGACCTGCAGACAGTGAGTCTCCTAAGTAGAGGGTAACAGCAGTAACAGCTCCAGGTCACCATCGGTCGGGCATTCCTCCTTCTCTTTCAGCTTCCGCCAGCGTGTGAAAGCCAGACCAATATTAATCCTTGTTCGAGCTCTTGTTTTATCGCTCTCCCGTTTTCTTTTCTTTGTCTCCTCGGACAACACCTTCACCTTCTTCCTTTTCTTTGTCACTTCAGCCATGACAACCACGTCTAACTTCGTTCACCTCGGTTTGGCTACGCTACTCTAAAGAGAATAAGGGGATATGATGTATGCCGTAAAGCAGCCAAATTTTGTGGACCTTTTTGTGTCTGGGTTCCTGCCTGAACCCCGAAACTGCATAGTGCCAGTGCAAGTGAAACAGATGCTCTCAAGCAATGACAGAAGTGTCATCCAACATATTGTAAGTTGATGTACCATCACAAGGATCTTGGATATATATTTTGAGAGCTCAAAAACACCATTGTGTTGCTTTAAAATGAATCAACTGATGTCCAAGGTTCTTGGAAGAGGAGAAGATATCCTTGCCCAGTTCATGTCAAATCCAAGGTTATTAAGATCTCTGTCCCATACCGATGTAATAGATAGGTGGTTAAGATTATGTTTCAATAATTCATCATACTCTGAAGATACAAACCTGGACGACTGAGCCACATACATACAATTCACTAGGGGAGGGGAAACTATAGGAGAGTGCCAACGTACTCCATAGGTTTTTAAGGTGGTACAAAGTCTGAGGTAGAAGAACCATGAGGAGCCTGGGAGAGAGCATGAGGTCTTGAAAGAAGTGTAGACCTTGCTGATTATAAATATGTCTAAGAACTTGTACACCCTGATAAGACCATTGGGGGAAAGTTAAAGGCTTGGATCCAGTCAAGAGAAAATAGTTATTCCATAAAGGAAACAAATCATGAAATCTACAGATAGTGAAAATGTCTTTTTTTTGGGTACCATATAGATAGAGAGTTTGATATGATGGATCCCATTTGCAACCGTGAAGCATTTTCAAGAAGGCGCCACGGAACACGAGAGATGGGGTCAAGCCAAGTCATCAACACTCTTAACTGGAAAGACCAGTAATAAAATTTGAAATTGGGCAGAGAGAGCCCAGCCACTGATTTTGGGACGTGTTAAAGTAGAAAAACTAAGAGAGGGATGCTTCTCTCTCCAAATAAACTTTCTATATATTGTATTCAACTCCTTTTAAGATTTACAGAGAGGAGGCACAGGGAGCATTGAAAGTTGAAAGTTTGCTTCAGTTTTACTTGAATATTTAAGTTAATTACAATACAAATGTGACCAGAGAAGATCTTGGTACAGATATATAGCAAAAACTTAAAGTAAAATTACCTTCACTGAGCCTTAACCAGTGTATCCCACGTCATACACAATTATGTTTAATCAAGCCACCTTGAAAAAGACAAAACAATGTTGCTGAACCCTTGGTCCAGACTCTTAACAATGGGAGTCAAGGTCCTCATCTTATCCTAACCTTCAGACAGCCAGATCAAAGCCTCGCAGCATAGAGCATGCCAGCAGTGAAGGACTTTAAAAAGGCCTCTTAGGTTAATTACCATGAAAGCATCTTTTTTCTCCAACACTCACACAATCGAGAATAATTACCCTTTTGACAATCTAGTCTGCATCTGTGAGAGTAACTGTAGCACACACAAAAACATAAGGGAAAACAACATACAGCAAGGACCAGAGTCCAGCTTTAACCCACAGGACCTGGAAACACTGACTTCAGCACCAACAGCCATGGCAGGGAGACAGTCATAAAAAATATTCGTGATAATGTGCTTATAAGAACAATTAGGAAAACTGGATTTTTGTGATAGATGTTAGCATATTTTTTTCTCTTTGGCTGTCCTAATTTGCATAGGAGATCTTGTCAACAACACTTGAAGATCAGATGTGTTGTTTGACCTTGAGCTGAGTTTAAAGCTGTACATTATGCCAGCCTGTACAATCGTGGTGAATGACAGCAAATTGGCTGCTTTGTATTCCAGTCAGGTTTTGCCCTCAAGGCTTCGGAGGCTGAAGAAGTTTCTGATGATGGAGTTAATTCCCTCTCTGAGACATCAGCTCGTCCCAGTCGCACTAAATGGAACACCTACTGTACTCTCTGCAGGCTGGAATGTTAATGCACCGATAATACCTGAAGCATAATGACTTCAGACCTCTCTACGCCACCGTCCATTAGAGTAATGTGAACATTTCACAAGTTTTTCACATTAGCACATCATTAGCAACATATGACAACTTCCAGAGGGTCATTAGTCTGCTCCTAACTAAGACCTCTTTAACTGAGATCCGCACTCATTAGGTGATGGCTACATTATAGCTTTTCAACATGTGTGGTTCTACAATAGCATCAAAGTCCATGTTAGATTTTTGACCTAAGGGTCACAGAGTGGTCTCCGAGCTCAGCCTCGATGCCTTTGTATTCCCAGTTCCTTTATCTGTCTGCATTGTTTTGGACACAAGCAATGCAGGCATCTACTGAATCTACAGCAGAGGGGAGATAAATTGCTCAAGTAAGCAGGAAGAGCATGTCTGCATCTGGTGCAACTTTCTCATCAAAATTGAGTTTCAAATCAGAATCATATGCACAATCCAGCATTCGATTTTGATTGTGATTTCCTGGACCTTGCCCAGTTGCCCACTAATAGCACTTGATGATACTGACAGGTGAACCTGAAAGCGTGGTCACACTAACAAAGCAAATTTTATCGACGGCACAGTTGCTAGAATTGCAAATTAGATATGGATGGTGCAAATTAAGGCACTTTCATTTGTAAGAATTTAACATTTGATTAAGATTTTCACTCATCTAGTGAAATGTCTCCACAACTACCAGATGGATGGCTACTAAATAGACATTCATGGTTGCCACTGGTGAGGCCAAGTGTCTTTGATGATCCCATAGTGCCACCATTGGATTGAAAGTTTTGTTATTGGTTACAGTAAATATCTCAATAGCTACTGTGCAGCTGCTGTGGTGGATTGCCGTTAAATTTGGTACACACAATGATGTCCCTCTCAGAGTTAACTGTGACAACTTTAGTGATTGCTTCACTTCAATAATAATACATTTATTTGATGTAGCACCTTTTGTAAAAAATGTAAAAAAATAAAATTAGTAGTAGTACAATGACACAATCAAACAGTAAAACATGCAATAAAATCAAAGACAATATAACAATTAAAACAAAGCAACAAAAAGAAAGTAAAACTTAGAGCAAATACAGGCCATTTTGAAAAGACGGGTCTTTAGTTGTTTTTTAAATGTTTCTAAGGAGACAGCAGATCGTAAACCTGATGGAGAGAGTTCGATAGTGTCCCAAGCCACAATCCCCTTTTCTTTTGAGTCTGGAGCAGGGGACAGCCAGTGGGTCCTGCTCAGAAGACCTAAGGGACCTACTGACAATATATGGATGGAGGAGATAACTGATGTATTCAGGTGCCTACACATGAGAACGAGTATCTTGAAATGAATCCTAAACCTGAATCCTAAACCTTTCCATCTCGTGCAATTATCAGGTCAGGTTTAATTTTTCCAATACTTTGTTTATGACCAAATATCTGCAAAACTAGCCTAATTAAATTGCTATCAGCCTCAGCTATATTTCAAATTTAGTGTGGAACAGCGAATATTAGCATGTTTACATAGTAAAGTCAGATGGTAGTTGCTAAAAATCAGCATGTTTTTGTTAATGTGAGCATGCTGACATTAGCATTTACCTCAAAATGCCACTGTCACTTTTGGAAATGCTAAGAGCACAATACAAAGTCACTATCATACGCACATACAATAAACTTTAATCCTAACCGTGCATCATGGCCAGTGTAGACCATAGCTGTATTGACTAAAATAGAAATGCTTCATACAAGCTGAGTCTCGTTTCATCATTCTGAGACACAAAATGTCCAACTTTTACTACCTCCAGTGGGGGTAATAAAAACACACAATGACAACAATCAAACCATTACGTATGCCTATGGACTGTGAGGTAAACGGCATACACTGAAACTTCTGCCAGCATTTCTTGTGAAATAATGCAGGTGTCAGTGAATGAATATCTCGCTGTCACTCCAGCACCCTGTGATTCATATAATCTGTCATGGCATGTGATTACCATCAGTTAAAAGCGCTTCGTGCATGCAGAGAAGATCGAAAAGGGCAGACAACTTCATTGAGGTGGTATCTCACTCTGTCATTCTCTAGTGCTTGTCTGAGAAGACTGCAGATTAATATCGCTTAATAATGGGTGAGTGTAGTAAAAAATGATTAAGTGTGGTATAAAAGCAATATCCAGGGTCCTTAAAGTATGTTCTTACCTTATTACAATGATTAAGTATGCTGTTCATGTACTATTAAACCACTCAAGCTCCCATCCATTTAGGATAAAGTACTAAAAGTATCAATAATGGAATAATAACCAATTAAAAATGTTCAGATAAAATGTTACATGAATAAAAGTATAGTTTTATGAGTGAACTGTATGTGTGAGCAATAATTATAACCCTGAAACAAAAACAGAAATCAGACTTCAGTCACTAACAATAAACTGTGCCTTTGCTTGTTGTTTTTGCAATGTTATTACTGTTCTACAGGAAGTAATGGTACAGGAAATTGCACCAAATTCATTTCCCAACCTAACGCTGGAGGATAGATTTTTCTTATGTTCATATCTGGGTTACATCACAACAGTGTTCCCCTGTGTATATCTCACTTATAACTAAATATAACACCCAAGAACATAGACAACAAAACAGAAACATTTGCCAGTTAGAAAGTTTATAGAAAAATCAGCATCAACATGAATTCACTTTGATCCTGTTGAATTTTTTCCAGCAGCAATTCAAGTGTAACAGTTATTCCAGCATTATTACATTTGTTCAAGAGCATTTATGAAAATCCAAATAGGAATATCAGCACTTAACCCCAAAAAAAAATAAAATTTTAAGTCTCAAATTAAGTGACAAACAACCTGATTGACATGACAGAACAGCAGGTGATAGAAAATGACAAAACATTGAAACAGTGAAAGAAGAGTATTTGAGACATTGAAATATGTACCAATCACAAAGAGTTCTTATATACAGAATAAAACCATCAAGTTAAAACATGAAATGAGTTGTTTTAAGAGTGCACAGACAGCAGGATTGTTTTTTTGTAGTAACAAATGCAATCATCAGCCAAAGCTTTTCAGCCCTGCAGCAACTACATCCACTCCCTTTCTTAGAAACCCTTGATATGTTCATTGACTCCAAGTAACCATTTAACTAACAAAGATTAAAACACAGGCTCTGGGTTGCCTAGTTACAACATCATAATGACCAAATAATGAAGTACCCATTAAAATGAAATGCATCTTTGCATTGCAATAGTCAAGATCATTATAATAACATCATCTGTTTGCAAGCCAAAAAATACCAAGAAATGCATCTGAATATTTGTTACAGTACAAAATTACAGTATATATCCATAGAAATGTTTTATGAGTATGATGCGCTTTGATCATTAACTGTTTACAACCTATAATGTTAACATCTAATACCCTATTAATACTTTTGAAATTCATTCAATTCAGTTACAGGACTGGCTATATTGATCAGCTGCCATCACTGCACATTTACATCTAAGATACAGTATCTTAGCAGAATAATGTACCAACACACATTTTTAAACAACTCTAAGAGTTCATTTTAAGAAACATCAGTATTTTAGTGTTAGTGCATCATTGTTTCCTTTAATTTGTTCAAGTTTTCTAGCAATACAGTAAATTGTATTTGTTAAAAGGGTCAGTTCAGCTGCCCACATTTGTTTGCAGTTTGAAAAATAGTTGCCAATGTTCTGCAACTACACCAAGCTATCTGGTTAGACAGGAGTCAGTTGGGGTGTCCTTATGTGTGTATTTATGTGAACTGACCCTTTAAATTATTATCTTAGTTTAACAGTGCTACAACATCCAATTAATTATTTTTAAACATTTAATTGTGGTTTACCCGTGTGAGACCAAAACTGAAGCCAGAGCCACACTGCTCCTCACCTCATGATGCTGAGGTTGAGTTGTGTGCACAGCCTGAAGTGTAGATGTGTCAGAGGTGGCAGGTCACGCCCTAAAACTCCAGCTCCTCTGAAACGGCTGGAAGGGTTTCTTTAGGTTGAAAAACATGAGATGAGGTTTGAGTCGTGGGGTTTTCTCAGGTACTACAGCAGCTTTGCTTTCCTCAGTGGGGAATCGATTGTGGTAGACCTCTGGGTACGACCTCTGAAACTGAAAAGGGTAAGTTGTGAATTTTACTGTACAATATTTGCACAACAAAAGGATACAGTTTGTTTGGAGATCACAGCTCTCAAAATATTAAAATACAAGGCTTTGAACATAGGAGCACAAACAGAAATGACTCATACATAAATTTTACACATATTGCTGAAGAGCGGATTTCTCTATATTTGCCCACCACAACTTCAAACAGACACCTCCTCTGATATCTACATTCAATGACATTTGAAAATGCCATACCTGTTTCAGCCTTTTCCTCTTGTCCTTTGCAGGGAGTTCTTTGTCTGCGATCAGGCCTTCCAGCAGCGCCTGTAGGGGGGTCTGGGTTCCTATCACCCTCGGCTCCTCAGCCTCCACCCTCCTGATCTGTTTACAAAAAGCTGGAGATGCGCTGAAGTCTGTGTCTGAACCTGCGTATTTGATCTGGTGAGAGACACAAAGAAAATGTTATATTAATCCACATATTTTGTGATGAACTAGTGTGATCCAAACTATGCTATTCTGGATATTTGGTCTTCTGCTTTTTTTTTTTTTTTTTTAAACTACATAAATAAGTAAGCGCACAATACAACTCAAGGTCAAATATGCACAAAAACTTGCACAAATACACAGCCAGTAACCTGAAGCTTCTGACTTACCTGGCTAGTGAGAAACTACAGTAGATCTGTCAGTGACATCAACTGTATTTTGTCAGCTGTTACACAGTTTTGAGGATTCATTTATAATGGTATAGGATCTACCCTCTCAGCAGCTGTAGTGTAACACAACACAGTGGGTGGCTGCATGCTCCACTGAGCAGTTAAATGTGGATAATTAATACAACTAATAAACAGCAATAAAATATGCAGGGTGGTTATAGTTTTAAAATCACATTTATAGCACTCAGTTAAGATGAAATCATGTTTTCAGTCCATTTCACAGCGTGGGACGTGGAAGCTTATGCATCCACTGTTGGACTAAAAGATGGAATCAATAAGGCCTTCATTTGTAGGCCAAACAATGTTGGACACAGCCTGTCAATACAGTCTGTGTTCCATTTTCTGAAGAGCCTGCCAAAAGAAAACATGCACACATCAATTTGAACCAACTGTGCACAGAGGAATAAAATACAGGAGAAGGACCCCTGTCCCTACATGAAGGCGACCACAAGGGCAGGCACAAAATTGTAGAGAAAACGGTCACTCAGTTTGTCTGAGTTAGTCAATCCTGCACCTCATTGTTTCTGCAAGATTTCTAACAGTTCTAACAGTAAATGTGTAATCCTGCACCTGCCTGCTCCTGTAGTGATCTATATAACTCCTGTCCACAGCAATTTCTACTGAAAATCTGTATGTGCTGGATGATTTTCTTTTAAAAGGAACAGTTTACACCTAAAATTGGAAATAGAAATTTTTACTCTCACCTGTAGTGCGATTGATCAATATAGATTGTTTTGGTGTGAGTGGCTGAGTGTTGGATATCAGCTACAGAGATGTCTGCCTTCTTTTAAATGTAATGGATCTAGATGGCACTCGGCTTGAGGTGCCAAACAAATATATTCCAAAAATTCAACAGCGATGTCTCTTTCTAGAAATCATGACCGGGTTACTCAACATAATTTAAAAACCTTGTTGTGAGCAGTTTCATGTAGGAACTATTTTCTTTCTACCTAACCTACCAACTGAATCAACAAAGAAGGAAGCGTGCATGTACTTATGAACAGGAGGCCTGTGTTTGCGACAGCATCAGATGCAAATATTAATGGCTTCCTCCTCAGCTGAGCTGTAACGTTAATAGCTCAGTGGTGCTGGGTGAGCTGGCTGTAGACGCACGTTTTTTTTGGCGCAGCAGCATTCACACCAAACGCTGATTAATAAATAGCACTACAGGTAGGAGGAAAAGTATTTATTTTTGATTTTTAGGTGAACTCTCCCATTAACATTACTGATGTTCACATTATATTTATATGATTGCCTCCATGAGCAACTCTTATTTTCATATAGAGAATTTAATTTCATTCCACGATATTCCTACTATAAGGCTGCTGACTGGCTACTACGGAAACAAACCCAAAAAGGTAATGTTGCCGAATGGGACACTGAACCAACAACTAAACACGGAGTCACTGCCTCAAGCTACTGCGACAGGTGTTTTCCACTCACATTAACATAGAAATGTACCTGAAATACTTATTTTATGTTGCTTTAATATAGGTAACAATAACTGTACCACATTTCCATACGTAGTGTTTGGCAAGATGATGGAACCAATCTGGCACATTGTCTTCATCTGGCTCGGTACACATGGACTCATTTCTAAATGAATTGTAACTTTAGAGAGTGTACTGACTTGGACTCTTTTGAGGTGGGACAGGTGCTCCTCAACCTGGCGGCGCAGCTTAAAAGGAACTTGGAAGATGGTGTTGTGGTGCTCCATCATGAAGGTCACCAGTTTGGTGGCAAACAGCTCATCCAGGTCCATCTCATCCACTGATCCTAGAACGCAGTGTGAGAACATCTGCACCATCTGGACAGAGACCACAACAGGAGAAAAATTAGGAATCAACCTCCAGCAGCACTTTACACTACTTATTACAGACATATTGGTGGTAAACAAAATATAATAAGCACCCATAAAATAAATCCACAGTAATACCTTGAATTTTGTATGCATGTAGTGTTACAAACTGGGCTTGTTTTGAACTAACCCTTCAAGTATTACATAGACAGCATAGCAAGCTAATAAATAAAAAAAAAATCAGGATTAAATGTACCTGTTTTAGAAGCTGTAAACGGACACTAGGTTCAGATGTCATGAATCTATATTTCTGGTGTATTTACATGGTATCTATAAGTCCTATGAAATGAAATCTAACACAACACAGCTGCAACACTATTTTAGTGAAGCTTATGAGTAAAAATTCTAAACTCAAGGTTCACTTACTTACTGTAACTCTTCCTAAATCTTTTTGGAGCTTTACATTTTGTTCTTTAGATTTTCAGTGACTTTAGTTGAAGCATGTTTAGTTAATGCAGTGAAAGGGGTGTTTTATAAAATATCTTAGTTTCTCTACAGAAGTGTGCCCTGTATAAAGTCACTGCGTTGGCTGCCTGTCAGTTTTAGAATTGATTTTAAGATTCTCACTACTTTTTATATCACTGAATGGCCTGGCACCAACTTATCTCTCAGATATGCTTCTTAGATATGTACCTAATAGGTCCCTCAGATCCTCTACTGCTGGCATGCAAGGATTTCAACAAAAATCCATGGGGAATCAGCGTTTAGCCACGGCTGCTCAGGTCTAAGGAAAAGTCTACCTGAGCGTCTGAGGAAGTCCACCTCTGTGGACATTTTTAAAAGAAAGACAGATCTTTTTAGCTTGGCTTTTACTTAAAGGTGCCTTGTCATTTACTGCCTCTCTTTTTAACTCTAGTCTTTTCTACTTTTCTTTTAATTTATTTGTTCTTTTAGATGTTACTTATTTTAAATATTTCGTTGTTGAGTCGTTGTAAAGTCTAGCTATTCAGTTGTTACTTTTTCTGTGCTGTTTTACTCCTGCTCTGTGAAGCACTTTGGACTGCATGATTGTATGAAAGGTACTATATAAATAAAGTTGATTTGATTTGATATTCCCTAAAATTTTTTGAATGCATCATGATTCTGTGGAAAGATTAGTGCAAGTGACCATGAGGTGTATCCACCCCTGAATACACCTTAATAATAATGAATAAATCTCACTTCACATCCGTAGTATACCAGATGTCTTGACAGAGGCATCAACATTAGCACTGAAATACCTCAGTTCTTAAGAAATAATAGCACTCACAATTGTTAACTTGGGCTTTCGTGACTTTTCTATAAATTTATAACTTACTATTGTTTGGAAATAAGAAGCCAGGCATTATGCAATTAGTATATACACATTGCAGTGGCTGTTTCCAAAAACATGCAGGTTGATAAAAGTCAAATCGTTGGAAATGTCTTGCTATGTGGACCACATGTGTAGATTCAGACTACTTGGTATTCCAATCCATATTCTTAAGAAGAGAAGACTTTCCACCTCCCATTGACTTTTAATAGATAGCAAGGATTCTGGACTAACAATATTCCTGCAGCTTCTCTTTGCCCCTAGGCCTGCATGTTTTTCTTTCTTGTCTCCCTTTGTAGACTGTGTCTGAGGCATTTACCTTACAAAATCCAATACAAAGCATAACACAAACTACAGCAAACAATACCTCTCCTACACAGTATTAAAAGCTTTAAAAAACAAAACAAAAAAACAAGTAGTATCAATTACTAGAATATCTACTGATTTGTGGGATTTCCCAACAGTCCTAGTCTTATCTAAATACTACAAAGAAATATATATGGTATGTGTACCAGTGTGCGGGTGGCAATGGCGTCATTGAGTGGAGGCAGGTGGGGATTCTGACAAACACGGGCCATGAGACGCAATAAAAGCTGGAGGCGTCTTCGGTTGGGCGGCGGCAGTAAGAGACAGCTGACCTGAAGAGCCTCAGTGGCTACCTCCTGTTCCTGGAGCAGACCTGTGGAGATATGAAGAGAGATGAATAGTGCTCCTAAGGGCAAACATACAAGCTAGACTAAACGAACACCAACAACTGTGTATCTGCAGTGTCGTACAAATAATATATAGGAGATCACCACATGACACATCATCCACAATGTGAAACACTTACTGAGAATGTTGACAAAGACTTCATAAAGATGGAAAGTCAGCAGGGGTTCTTTGAGTCTCTGAAAGTAATCTGCTACTGTTTTCAGAACATCCCTCTCGAAACCCGGGTACACTGGCTGTTTGCTTTCATTCCCATTAGGCCCTGGGAAAAAAGACAGGTGCAGTTTATTGCTTCACACAGAAATGATCTGAATTATACAGTTAACTTCAGGTTCGGCTGAAAACATGCACATAAACACGCCAAATGGTGCCTAAGATTTTTTGGTATACGTGCACACACTCACACATACATACATTCAAATACTTTCCAGTTCAACTCAAAGTGAGATACCAACCATCTAGAAAATATGGCACCTACTCATTCAAAATAATGGTGAGGGTTTTTATATGTGCATGAAATATATACTTACAATTGGCAAGACATTTCATTGCTGATACCACCCAATATGGCATGTCCTCTGGAGATGCAAAAGGAGGTAGGTGAGTCATTATATACAAGTTGCAAAAAAAGTTGCTCTTCTAATTGTGAATAAAATGCTTCATACCGGCTTTGTTCTCCAATACGACTATGCCCGTCTTATTGACGCTGAACACATTGTGAACAATGTGCTTGCCGTTCACATGCGTTGGGTTTAAAATTCCATCCAATGACTGTAAGCCCAGAGCTCTCTGTAAACTAAAACAAAAGAGTTGGCATCAAGTGTCTAAAGCAGTGGTTGCAATACTGGGTGCGTCACCCTGGGGTGGGTGACTTTAAACAACATTAAATTTTTAATTTTTTTTATATTTACATTTACATACATGCTTTACGTTATTTACGGAGGAAAATAGAAATGATTAACTATAAATTAAACTATAATTAAACTATTATCAGCATATTAAAACCTGTTTATTATTATGTGGTTATGCCGTAGCTAGTGACATGACATGACACCACAGTTGCTGGTGGTCGAAGTAACACAAAAGGCTTTTCAGCTCAGGAGGTTTTCCGAGCAGATTGCGGATACCCAACCCGAGCCCGACAGGACCCGTTGAAACCCGGCGGGTCAGGCCAGGTTCGGGTTCGGCCCACTTGACATGCTGCTGTGTGTACTAAGGCCTATTCAACTGCTGGAATTTGTTATATATTTATGTGACAACGCCTGAACACAACACAGGCTCTGCACCAATTGAGTGTGTGTGCTGTGCGTGCAGCATGTTTGACTGTGTGTAACAACAGCCTTTTGATGGTCATTTACACACTGTCCATGTATGATCACGGTAAACAGACAAGCTGTAACCATGATTACAATAACTATGTCCGGTAACAAACTGTGTCAAACCTGGGTCGGGTTGGGACTTAAAAATCAAAAAGTCTGTTGGGTCGGGCCGGGCTGGGTTATAACTGTGTCGGACTCAGGTCGGGTTCAGTCAGGAAAATGCTGCCTCAGCCGTGCTCTATTTCCAAGGGCTGAGTGGTCAGATTAATTGTGACTGTCAGAGCAATCTCAACACAGTCCTTCTGAACACTACTAGGCTAATGGCTTAATAGACAGGTTTTGGCAGCTTGTGGAAACAGGATATACATCACTGATCATATTCACTGTGGTATAATATATGTGATCTGGCTCTCTCATCTCTGCATAAAAAAACTCTTCCCAGTGGAGTCAACAGCATGGTGTGCATATGGGTGCAACGAGAAAACATTTGCTTTCAAGGGTTGCCGTGGTCTAATAAAAGTTTGGGAACCACTGATACAAACAACACAAACAGTGGAAGTGTTTAATAAGCTATGTAAAAGGGTTACATACTGCACAACTGTCATAGATTTCCAGATGTGGTCCACTTGCTTTGGTGTTATCTCCTTCCTCCGTATGAGCTTACACTCATGCACATCTCCGATAGCGACACTGTGCCTTTTATTCCACAAATCCGAGGTCTGAGCAGAAAAGAGGAGAGACATGAATGAAAAGGTTCCTTTGACTTACGCTGAATGAGCAGAAACATAAAAAGCCCTGTGTAATAATGGACAGTATGACAGGCTGATGATCATGTCTAACAAAACATGGCCATGAAGACGTACCACAGAATTGAGTTCAACAAGGAAACTACAGCAGCAGTCTGAATAAACACTGAAAGTAAAGGAGAATATTCTCTTGGGCTCTTATACTGCATTACATTACGCTGAACTTTGCTTTTAACTTTTCAGTGTACTGTATAACCCCTTAGTATTGCACGGTATACTGGTACCAACGGTAGACCGCGGTACTAAAACTCCATGGTACATATGATACCATAATGTTGGAGTACCGTAGTACTACGGTACCTCACGGTACCACTACTGTGGGATAAGTTCAAAGTCCAATCACAGGAGGCGAATGTCCATTCCCCGTCCAATAACGGCGCGCGCTGGCCACCTGGCACTCAATATGCTGCTGCAGTAGTTTGTTTTCCAGTGACATTTCAGGTATTAGCTGAGCTATTGAGTATCTTTAAGCAGTGAAAGTTATTATTTATTTATTTTTACTTGTAGGCAGTGATTTGTTTTCCACAGAGCTCTACGGTGCGAGCATTTTATTCGCAATTGCGACTAAAAATAGTTTTGTGCGAGCAAAAGCAGTCATTCAGGAGCACGCTGTGAGAGTACAGATTTCAACCAGCAACAGAAATGAAAGGCGAATCCTGCCGGTTGGGGGTTGAACGGGGGTCACAGTGTCAGTGTGTCAAATACGGCAGCCATAATGCTCCACGGCGCAAGATAACGGCTTACCGGCGACGGAGAAGTCCGGCTCCAGGTTGAATAATTTCCTCTTTCGTTGGTGTCATGACTGCCCAGAAGTACCTGGACAACCGAGCCATGGCAGCACACAGGTATGTGACGTGTCAGAGGGGAAACAAGCCGTTCACATTTCTGTCTTTGTGGCAGGTAACGGTCCACAAACCTCACCGCACTTTAGGGAATGTTCTTAACTTATGAAGGGACTGTTGTTTACTTGTCAGAGGAGGAGGGTGGCTGGTTAATTTTTATTTTATTTATTTATTTTATTTCAACCCCCCCCATGTTAATCACTTATTTATGCTGTTTTTGAAGTATGAATAAGTCAGTAAGTAATTTATTCCATTGACATATAATTGATAGAAAAGTGATTTATCTTTTTATAAATGACAAAAGGCACATCTGCCTCATTTTCGCTGTGGTATCGTGATACTACTCAGAATCGTGATACTTTCACTGGTATCGCACCGTGGGTCCCAATTTTGGTACTGTGACAACACTATAACCCCTCAGTGCAGAATTATGTAAATGACAGCCCACACTTACACATAATTGAGCAGGGTAGATAGTTAAAATGATTTCATCTTGCCATTTGCCCTATGTTAAGTTTGCATATGCTTACACACTTTAAGCACAACATCAGTCTAAGCATGCACTGAAGGAGCTGAGAATCTTGGCCTCTTCCTCACCATGACAGCAGACTTCAGGGGTGGAATGTTTTCCCGCTGAGGCAATTCTTCGTAGTCGTCCCAGCGAATGAGTCTGGGAAGGTCACTGCTGTCTCTCAACAGAGGCCTTATTGGAAGAGACTTCAGGGGAGACGAGGTGGGGAATCTGGAGAGAGCAACAATGCCAAATTGCCATGGTGTATCGACAAAAAGGAATAACAGAACAGGATGACAAAGTTGTACCTGTACAGATGGTTGTTGTCTTCAAAGTCCTCTGTCCCATGGCGTCCTTTGATGTCCTCAATGACATGGGCCTTGAGGAACTTTCTGAGAAGCTGCATAGTCTGGTATCGAGTGACCTCGGGCCCAAAGTTGTAGTTGCGCTTCAGCAGCTCATGCAGATAATCCACAGCCTCGCATCCTGTGAAACTGTTATCATAGTAGCGGAAGTGTGCCCAGTGCCTTCTGAGTGGCATGCCTCCACGGAAAAGTTTAATGGTTTCATTCCACTGTGTAAAAGGGAGACGGGACAAAGGGAGGCAATATGGTGTGACAAATGCTGCAGATTTTTAGTCATAGATCGCAAACTAAGTGAGTGTTCCTTTGCATTCTAGTGTAATATACCATTACATGTGGTAAGTAAATATTTCACTGAAGCTACTACCCTGATAAAGCCCAGAGAGCAGCATTTTATGCATTCAATAAGTTCCTGCTTTCTTTGTTATAAAGGCTGTTTGGAACATTTTTCTTATTATTGTCAAGAAGGGACGCATTAAACATGTGAGTAAAAAAATAGACATATCTAGCCCTATGAAACAAAAAATACTTGGCATGTTCTTCATTTCATCGACTACAGCACCAACTCTGTGCACATAACAATCACCACTGTCTCTCTTAATAGTGATTAAAATCAAACACAAGATCCAGGCCACACTCATCTGGTAGCAAAAAAGGAGGCAGATATCACAACAAACACAGCATTATCTCCTCATAGTGTTTGGATGGTGCTGGGGTTATGGATCATTAGCTCTCACAAAGTATCCAGATGGGCAAGAGAAAAATGATAGAAGTGGATAAAAGCAGAGAGAGAGGGAAGGAAAGAGAGAATGTGGCCAGTGGGTAAACAACCATTACAGCCCAGGAGAGTACCAAACTTTTTTTTAAATAAAAACCAAGAAGCTGGCCTTAAGCTCACTGGGAGAAGGGGCAGCAAGACTGGTCTTTCATTATAACAAGATGCACAAAAGGTTCTGTTCTACAGAAGGAAATTAGTGCAGAGAGGGTCTCTGCTTGTCTCTTCACCTCATATGTCTTTTTGGGGAAGCAGGTGGAATGTTATTTGTTCTTCCTAGGGTTTCATTGCTGAGAAAAAAATAGCTTTGGGGATTTAGATACTATGTATTTACAAGTGTGTACTTGTTCAGAACACACTTTAATAAACTGCATTTCAGTACCAGATGGCACAAATGCAATACACAATAGCTGAATAGGATAGACGCATATAGCCTACTGTAGCCGAATAAACTAGCAGGGCAGAAATCAATCAGGAAAAGGATACAAATAGTATGGTAACTCGTGCACTTGCAAACTCTGTAGCTCATCTTTCCTGATAGAGCCCACAGATTTTTAGTAAAGATTCTCTTGACACATGAGTATAAAGCCTCTTTTCACATTTTAAAATGTCACAGTAAGAAAGGCACAGGTGCAAATAATAAAACAATGGCTGAATCCCATTTAGCTACTTTGCTCTAAGGGACCTGCTATTATGCATGCTGGTGGCTCACTGGGACACTTGAGTACAACGCAGCCATCGTCAACATGATTATTAACACCTGTGTCGTTGTCAGTAACACATGTCAAAATGCCTGAAATCAAAAGGCTTACAGGAAAAATTTAAATTATATGGAATGGGTAAATTAAATGACTAGTATTCAAATTTGCCTTACAAAAAACACAGCCTGATGTAGATGTGCCATATTCTGATAATGCATGTTAAAACATACATAGATATTCAGTGTATGATTTTGCACAATTTGCATTAATGTACACAGTAATGTTGGAGCTGAAAGGGTCCAAGCCACAGCCAGTGAGCTGGGCACATGCAGGAACATATGACAGTAATAGTATGGCATGTTGTGGATGCTTTTACGTGAAATTAAACAGGAGCTGTGAATGCCAAGAACACATGATGCATTAACACAGTGTACACATTAGCATTAGCTTGAATGTGGTGTAAGCAATAACTTAGAATGGAAACGTCTCACATGAGTATTCTACATGATGCTAAATAACACTGCTGCATGGTTTACGACTGAGTCACAACAAAACTTTACCAAACCGCATACATTTTGCATTTGTTGACTCTTTTAACATAGTTTTAGTGCTGTTGTGAAGACGGTATTTAAAATACCTGAGCTCCCTACCCGAGTAAGTACAACGACTGTTAGCTAACGTTAAACGTAATTAACGGTAAGTTAAATGTATGACCAAGCTAAGTTTAAAAGTAACTTACGCCATCCCTGTAACGTCAGCCTACTAAAAGTATGAGTAGACATTATAAATGTAATATACAGTTGCGGTGCTACCTAGATACTTTAAACAAACTTTCCACATCTATATTAACTCACATTATAACACTAAAAGTAGCACGAAGCTTTTCACAGTCACATTTGTTGTGCCTCGCTAACGTTGCCAACAGACTCACCAGTTTGGTTGCCCTGTACGGACCCGGTCCGATAACTTTTCCGTCCATTCTGAAAGTGAAACCCTCTTCACTCGTATGAAAACATGGACATATGTTAATTTTATATGCTTTTCAAAAGCTTCAGCTGCGTATGAAAACAGGTAAATAAAGCTACGGGGGTATCTCAACAGAAACGTTGCTGCCAACTTTGAATCTCCTGCGTCACATCATCTGAGCGACGTGATTAGACAGCGCGCTGGTCACGTGACCACGAGGAATTCAGCATGTATGAATGGACTTGTAGGACAAAACACACCAACCTTCAACTGCTGCTGCACACACTGCTTACACTTCTGCAACTACTTTGATAATAATGATAATAATAACGTTAATATTGATCATGATAATAATGATAATAAAAGTAATAAAAAACCTCTTTACATTTTTGAAAGAAGGTTTTTTAAAGGTGTTTACAAAAAATAGACTACAGTAGCTACGGGCACTTTCATGGCAAACTTAAATTTTATTTACCTGGCATAAAAACTTTATAAACCTTTCAGGTCACATGTAAAGTCTAAGGCTGAGACACCCTAGCTACTGCCATGCTTGAAAGCAATAAGATCTGAAAACTCAAATGTCAAGTAGCGAGCATGATCTTTAAAAGAATCCATTACAGCTTTCTGAATAGACTAAGCTTACAGAAATAATTGCAGAGATGACCTTCACCAAATCAGCGATGGAATGGTGTTGTTAATAATTGAAGCGGTTCATGATGTACGACCCCTTAATCTGCCTTCCAAAATTTAAATCGGAACAAAGCAAGAAAGACGTGGAGCAACCTTAAGGTTCAGAGTTTACATTTTTGAAGATAACTCAGTCAACTTTTGTCAACATGACCCTGTTTTCATGAGGAAAGCACTATATAAACACTTAGAAAAATGAAAAAAAAAAATCTGCTGTATGAGTTTATTTTTCATTTTCATTGCATTGAAGAAATAAATAATACTGGGTATCCAGCTTCTACTATCAATGACACAGTCATGGATACTATCACCACAGGGGCACAGTGAAAGGGATGTACTGCAGGGATAATAATGGCTGAGGGGAAGCATGTATAGGGAAGCTGAGAGCTGACAAATCATGGCACTATAAACTAGATGAATGTCCTTTCAAAGCCCACCCAAGCCTTAAACTAGATGAATGCCCTTTAAAAGCCCATCCAAGCCTTTATAATATGCAAGACTGTCATCTTTCCCAAATTGAATTTTTACAATGCTGTGGCTTTATGATAAGGAAAATCTGAACTAATCCATCAGCGCTGCAGATTTGCCATACCATGTTTGCAGTCCACCTAAAACCTTTGCTTTGATACCCTGGGCACCTCAAGCTTTTCCATTTAGTGTGCTGATGCCTATAGTGACACAGAGGCACATTATCTGACAGCTAACAATAGGGGTTCCCTTTTCTCTCACTCTACGGGCTGTACCGATGGGGCTGAGACAGATGCCTCATCAGTAGGTTCTAGATAGAGCTGCTTTAACACTCACATACTTAAATGAACTCTGACAGTAACGGGGCTCTATTAAAATTCATGAGAAACACCGCAGCAATGACCCCTGACTCCCTAAAGAATTAATGTATTATAACTAAAATAGCTTGGATGCTGCATGATATTTCAGCGCATATAATTTAAAGTATGAATTCACCTTCATTGTGATATAAACTATTAGTTTCAGTCCTGCACATTAAATGCAGGTGTAGGCACTGCTTGATTGCAGCCCAGTTAAATAACCATGAGTAAAATAAGCACAGACCTCTGGTAACACATGACAGGTAAGACGGAAGTGAAAGATATTAAAAACTATATTGCTTGCTGCCCTTGCTGGCTTAGAGATAAGAATTAATTTGGAACTATGTGAGCCTGAGATCCAGGGTGCTGGTATAGCATCTTAAGCTATCTGTGAGATCTGGACACCCCAAATCTCCGTTGAGCCTTCTGGTGGTGTCATGATCCTGATTAAACGATACATTCCTGACAAAGCGTATCTGCTTTAATGAACCTGGTGACAGTCCCATCGTCCAAATTTTACCTGGTTGCATTACATTGGCAAACATTTGTGTCCTTTGTTTGCCTCCCATCTCATCCTTGACATTTCAGTGAAAGGTCACATGGATAACATGGAGAGGACAAGAGGAGAGATACTGAAGGCTTCACTAACAAGATGAGGAATCAAGCTGCAATCTATAGAGGGAGAGAGGAAAAATCTGTGCCTGTGCAAGCAACACATTCTCACTCTGACCTCGTCACATACTGATGTTTGGTAATTGTTTTTTCACCGTCAACATATGACGTGCATGGTACCCTGGGTGCGTTGGTTGTTGATGTTCTGTGATGCTATGTCAGCTTCAGCCTGTTACATGCATTGTCTGTTTTCAAAATACACTTAAAGGAAATGACCACTTTAGAATGAAAATACAGACAGTACTTACTCACCCTCATGCCGACAAGAGGTCCAGTGTAGTTTTTAATCCACAAAACTCGTTCGGGGTATCGGAGGATAGCAGCTAGCTGGATTTTTCCATACACTTTAAGTAAATGGAACCCACGTCCAAAATCATTTTGAAAATGTAATAAAACTTCACTTACACATTTCAAAAACGTCAGAACAGCTCGTCCGTCGTAATCCAAGTGCCCTGAAGCCGCGGCATGCAAAATTGACTTGCAAAGGCATAATTCACTCCACTTTTATAGCATAATTTCTCACCGTGGTCAGTTAGCCTGCAGGCACGCTGTGTTTACGTGGCAACTCGCACAAGACTCGAGAACGTTCAGAGACGTTCTTGTTCTCGAGTCTCGCGAGTTGCAGGCTAACTGACCAAATGCTGTTTGTTTCCTTCGACAACGAACACACATGGTTGGGTTTGGGCAAGAGAAGCATGTGGTTGGGTTTAGAAACAAAGAAAATGGTTTCCCCTTGTTGATCCTTGGAAGTTTTATTGTCTTACAACAGTAAGATTTAATGTGGCTTCTTTGCCACTGATCAACAGGAAAAGATAATGTCAATGGGAAAAGACATCTCTACAAAGTGAAAAAAATGAGTGCAAATAGGCTACAAAATATAATATTTGTGGCATTCATCCCCTCCGTGTCAGTATGTGTTGATGCAGCTTTGACAGTCCGTGTTGATAGCTTTGCACACATGGACTCTGCAATTTCACTTGGGTCATCAATTGAGTGGTAGCTATTTGTCATCTTAATTGCACTGTTCCAAAAGTTTTACTTCAAGTCAGAGCTGTAACCATTTGCATCACAATAAACTAAAAACTGAACAAGTTTGGAGGGAAAAAGAGATAATAATAGCTCAATCAGAAACATATGAGAGTGGGAATAGTTTTTGCTGAAAATGATCCAACGCTTTTATTTTGCGGGAAATGTGGAGATAAAGGTTTAGTATGCAATTCTGGAGAAAGAGATTTGATTGTTGAGTGTCAAAGGAAGGTCGTCAAATTCCGGAGACGTTGAGCTGGTAGTGGGACCGAACCACTGACCCCAAAATGTTGGCATTCAGCCTGAGAATGAGATTGTGTTGGTATTTGATGAACTGGGAATGAGATTCAACAATTCACAATCTTTCTCTAGAATACATAGTTCCTCCAGGCACAATTTGAAGAGGTAATAATGCACAAGCTGAGAGATTTTTGATTTGATTTCACTTGATTATGAGAATATTTTCTGAAATTTGTCCTGCGTTCCCTGGCCTCAGCCAACAGCAATGTGAGCAGTCAGAGGCAGTGACACAATGATCAGAGAAGAAAAGCTGAGAGGAAAGACAGTTTCCCTATGTTGATTGAAAGTGACTGGGGACTTGTTGAATGTGACACACCGGATTATCAGAGGCAGCTGTCTTTGACCATTGAGGGGAGACCTGTTCATTGCCACTGCTGTCATGCCTTATTAAGGGGCAGAGGTGATCAGTCATCTGAACAGTAATTAATAATGGTGGGTTATGTGATTTTCTGAGGATACCAAGTTAATGAGGAGCCAAAACGAGGAGAGTGTGGGATGATGCAGCCCATCCAAAGGTTGACTGGCCATTTGGACTTTGGTCCATACTAGGCCGAACCGGCTGGTGGTCATAGTGATCTTATTTTTTAATTGTTGATGTCTGTAGTTAGTTCTTCTAGGGCAGTCTGCTGCCTGGCCCTTAAGTGGGATTTATACTTCTGCACTGAATTGATGCCGTACCTACGGTGTAAGCTCTGTGTTGATGCAGAGACTATGCTGTAACCTACGCCGTAGATATAGTGAAGCCAATTTGTGTACTTAAAGCGACACTGACCTTTCTGGAAATTTTACGCTTTTCTTTGTTTAGGTTGAAATGCTATTAATAAGCTGATGGCACACTAAAATGTAAGTGAATTCCACCAGAGATAAAAACTCATAATTATACCATTCTCATATTGTTCTAAGAAAACTTCGACCAATCGCAATGACTGGCCGAGCGTCCTGTCTGTCTTCCCTACGTGGAGGCCTCCGACTGATGTAACCACTCACGTAACAACTCGGGTCAACATCGGCTCTGCTTTCGAGCGATGACGAAGACTGATGCCGCTTCATCCTGAGCTAAAAAGGGACGAGATGGTCGCAGAGTTTCTGCTGGACAGGTATTTTTAGTTTGCCTCTAATGTAATATAGGCTATAACGTTACATATGACAACACGGCATCCAAGTGCTAATGACTAATGTTAGCCTACTGTAGCGTAGCCTCTGAAACATTAACGTTATCTTCCTTGTGCGTTTTCACTTACTAGTAATGTTAACGCTACTATCTAACGTTAGCACTGTAACCTTACTCTAAAACTCATCAGTCATCACTGACTCCGGTTGAGTTTTAAAATTTCGGGGTTGCGTTTGACTGTGCAGGACAGGTAACGTTATGTTTAGTTTGCTTTTAATATAACATGTAACGTTATATGACAACACAGCATCCAGTTGCTAATGGCTATGGTCAGCCTACTGTAGCGTAGCCTCTGAAACATTAACGTTATCTTCCTTGTGTGTTTCCACTTAATAGTAACGTTAGCACTGTAACCTTATTCTAAAACTCATCAGTTATCACTGACTCCGGTTGAGTTTTAAAACTCCAGGTTGCATATGACTGTCTTGGTTGTAATGTTACACTAGCTCTCCTCT